GTGTAGTTAAAGGGTGAGAGCTATGCTCGTGGTGTCCTGTCTTACAATACTCTTTGTCAAATAATGCTTTGACACTATTGTTGGTTTTGGCCTCCACCACCTTCTCACTTAACTGTTCCAACCTGTCTACCACTTTGCAAAAGAAAACTTTCTAATATTTTTGCTGCACCTTTGTTTCCTTGGCTTGAATCTGTGTCGTCTTGTTCTTGAAACTGATGGTTTCAAGAATTCCTCTTTGTTCAATTTGGTTGATTCCTGTTACTATTTTGTAAGTGGAGATCATATCACCTTTTACTTCTGCTTTCTAACTTTGGCATATTTAACGCTTCTACCCTCTCCTCGTAACTCTTATTTTTCAGTTCTGGAGGCCATTTTGTAGCATGCAATTTGCACCTTTTTCAGTTTATTGATGTACCTCTTGAGATATGGGTACCATACAACTGCTGCATATTTTAATTTATATTTATAGTCAGTAACAAGGGAAACAAACACTGCTATGGTTAACAGTACCAGTTTTATTGATATACATGTATATTACACACTGTTGTCTTGCGATACATACCTTCTCGTAATAAGCATATATCTTCACCAATATGTACATCTTAGTAAAGGCACATAATGTAGACACACACAAAGCTTTTCATTTATACCTTTTATATTCTTTGACAGTAATGTGCAGCTTCAGCTTATGAAATGATGATTATTTTATCATTGTCAAACCTTTACAAGGTACATGGATACAGTTTCAGAAGGAAATCATCACATAAAACAGAGGCAAATAAGGTAGGGAACACTGACACTGAAGCACTTGACACTGTATTATAAAATCAGATACATGTACAACTACTGATTAAGGTGTATTCATCCAATATAATTGCTAAAAAACAAAACAAAACAAAAAGTTGAAGGCATAAATCAATACCAGACCTCTTTTAAAAGTAAACACAAAAGTTTGAATCAATCACAATAAATGTATCACACATTAAAAACTGATGTTAAGGAAAGATACAAAATACAGGCACATAGTTATGATTTTGTGTTTAGAATAATGATAAGCTCATTTAATGATATTTTTCAGTGAAGACAAAATAAAATTATATTACAGATATATCAGACAGCTGGTTGTACATGTACAAAAGGTGTGGAGTGGTGCATAGTATCAATCTCAGCAAGGAAGGAGGAGGAATGAAATAAAGGAATATGGAAGAAAAGGAGGGCAGCAAAACACACACACATCCTTGGAGAGTGCCAAAATATGAATAGATTTAAAAATCTTGCAGCCAGCAAAGAAACACATATTGAAAACACTCTGCTTACAAATCTAAAAAAAAAATTATTTTGAGGCATTTACAGACCCCATGGAAGATATAATTAAAAAAATATGATATTGGACAAACTAAAAATTTATAGCTCCTTTCCTCTTAGCAGTTCAAATATTTTAAGGATACCTGTAGGTATATCAGGCCAGGCTAGACCATCATTCTCTTACACAGGTATTGAAGAACAAGGAGACTGCTTTTAGCCCTTTTGAAGTACTGTACAGTAGTTTGATACTAAAATACAGAACATGTTATTTAGTTCTATAATTTGTAGAATTAAGAAGAATTTTACTGAAGTTACTTCGGTAGATCTTTCTAAACATGATTCCTCAAACTTTAAACTTCTGATAAGGTACAGAGGTAAAATAGAATATGACAATTTATGACACAGTGCATGTACAGTAACGGACACACACGGACACACACGGACACACACACACACACAGGGGGCCTTAGGGGGCCTCGTAGCCTGGTGGATAGCGCGCAGGACTTGTAATTCTGTGGCGCGGGTTCGATTCCCGCACGAGGCAGAAACAAATGGGCAAAGTTTCTTTCACCCTAAGTGCCCCTGTTACCTAGCAGTAAATAGGTACCTGGGAGTTAGTCAGCTGTCACGGGCTGCTTCCTGGGGTGTGTGTGTGGTGTGGGGAAAAAAAAAAAAGTAGTTAGTACAGTTGATTGACAGTTGAGAGGCGGGCCGAAAGAGCAAAGCTCAACCCCCGTAAAAACACAACTAGTAAACACACACACACACACAGGCACCGGTGGATGTGTGGATAGCACGCTGGACACGTGATCCTGTGGCCCGGGTTCGTTTCCCGGTCCCGGCGAGAAACGATGGGCAGAGTTTCTTTCACCCTGCTGCTTGTTACCTAGCAGTAAATAGGTACCTGGGAGTTAATCAGCTGTCATGGGCTGCTTCCTGGGGGGGGAAATAGTAGTTAGTAACAGTTGATTGATAGTTGCGAGGCGGGCCAAAAGAGCAGAGCTCAAGCCCCGCAAGAACCACTAGGTGAATACACACACAGACCTGGAACTTTGAGAACAAGAAGTCATAGATTTAAATTAACTAAACAAAGCTGCCGAAGAAATACAGTATAAGAAAATCCCCTTTTCGCAAACAGTGGTAGACGGTTGAAACAAGTGAGAAGGTGGTAGACCAAAACCGTCAGTACGGTACTTTCAAAGCATTATACAACAAAGAGTGCTGGGTAGACGGGACACCATGAGCGTAGCTCTCATCCTGTAACTACACTTAGGTAATTACACTTAATTAATCACATACACACACACATATATATGCAGTGGTTGTGTGGTGCCCATATCTTAAGAAGCACATCAACAAACTGGAGAAGGTGCAAAGACATGCTGCTAAGTGGCTCCCAGAACTGAAGGACAAGAGCTATGAGGAGAGATTAGAGGCATTAAATATGCCAAAACTAGAAGACAGAAGAAAAAGAGGTGATATGATCACTACGTACAAAACAGTAATAGGAATTGATAAAATTGACAGGGAAGATTTTCTGAGACCTGGAGCTTCAAGAACAAGAGGTCATAGATTTAAACTAACTAAACAAAGATGCCGAAGAAATATAAGACGGTTGGAACAAGTTAAGTGAGAAGGTGGTGGAGGCCAAAACAGTCAGTAATTTCAAAGCATTATATGACAAAGAGTGCTGGGAAGACGGGACACCACGAGCGTAGCTCTCATCCTGTAACTACACTTAGGTAATTACACTTAGATAATTACACACACATACACACGGGCCTCACAGCCGAGTGGACAGAGCTCGGAGGTCATAGTCCTAAAGGCCTGGGTTCGATATCCAGCCGAGGCAAAAACAAATGGGCAGAGAAAATCCATGAGAAAATCCACTAGGGCTATAGGTGGGCACGAACCTATGACCATGGCATTGCCAAGCCGCATACTCTACCACTTGACCACAACACACTTGTACAAGTCATACTACCAGATTTCTACTGATATCACAGGAAGTCTGGAGGCCCCCTCCTGAAGCCAGTGCAAGTATGTTGCAAATGGGTAGTTTCTTTCACCCAGATGTGTCTGTTCACCTACCAGTAAATAGGTACCTGAGAGTTAGACAGCTGCTACGGGCAGCTTCCTGGGAATGTGTGTGTGTGTGTGTGTGTGTGTGTGTGTCTGTGTCTGTGTATGTGTGTGTTAGAGAGAAATATATGTAGTCGACATAATAGAGAAAAAATAGATTATTAGAAAGGTGGGGTCGAAGAGCTAATAGAATGATTCTGCAGGCACAAATAGTAAATACACACACATACCGATTTGTGTGTCTGACACACACACACACACACACACACACACACACACACACACACACACACACACACACACACACACACACACACACACACACTGGGGGGGGCTGAGTGGACAACGCTCTGGGGTCGTATTCCTAAGGGCCCGGGTTTGATCCCCAGCAAAGACAGAAACAAATGGGCAGAGTTTCTTTCACCCAGGTGCTTCTGTTTACCTAGCAGTAAATAGGTACCTGGGAGTTAGATAGCTGCTGTGAGCTTCTTCCTGGGGATGTGTTTTTGTGTTATAGAGAAATATATGTAGTAGATATAATACAGGAAAAATAAATTAGTTAGAAAGGCGGGGTCCAAGCACTAATAGCTCGATTCTTCGATACAAATATCATCATCATTAACGTATCATTAACAAACATGGTAGTCAAAACAAGAAACAATAGTTAAAGCCAAATGGGTTGAACATCTAGAGAGTAATGACATAATAACGGACGGACAGTATGGTTTTCGAACAGGAAGATACTGTGTAACAAATCTACTTAGTTTTTATGATAGAGCCACAGAGATAATACAGGAAAGAGGTGGTTGGGTTTGCTGCCTATTTGAACCTAAAAAAGGCTCATTTTTTAAATAATATTAAATACAACTGGGATAATTTCTGAAGATTGATTAGTGTATAGTTTGTAAATATTATCAGTCTCCTATTTCATCAATGTTTCTGCATGGATACTGTACTGTACCTTGTTTCTGCATGAAGACTTTAGTGAAATACCATTTTAATATAAATACATAATCAATGAATTCAAGTAGTTTTTTTTAATTTTCTCAAAGTTAAAAGAACGCAGGTAGACTGAGCTGCACCCAAGATCTTGATATTATATAGCCTTCCAAGATATGCAGGTAATCGAGCCTGACACGAGTCTTGCTGACTCTTAACCTAATCCCAAGAAATCTACAACACACACATCAAATGTTGGAAGTATTCAATTCACTTCATAACCCTGATAACCCATACCAAAGAGCAAATATTGTACATGCTTATCAAGAATTATTTACAAAATATTTACACAACTTACATGACATTATCGTTTCTCTATTCTCACTGTCCTTTACAATGCTTTAAAAGCACACGCGCGCACACACAATCTTCTAAATGCCTGCCATACCTTAAAACTTAAAAGCCACTTTTGTCAACTGTTTGCTATGTACATCAAACAGAGTTGACACTTGGACAACTTGGTACAAATTTTGATCTGTTGGGGTACAAATCATGAAGCATGTGAGAACTGTCCATAACAGCTCCATATGCAATTGAATTATTGATAATGTTATGACAGAAATACTCATTATGTTCAATTCGTACAATTTCAGGGGTATAAAAACTAATTCACATTATTTTGTGTTTACTGCACCTGACCTTTTCAGCCATGGTTTTTATTGTCGTCAAAAGTCTAAACTGTATTTGAACAATCTATACTAGTATAGTTTTTGTCCTGTATAATAAATAGACTGTAGTTTATTATGTACACTATAATCTATATATATATACGGTATGTATTTGTCCTGATTATTGTCACAATATTACATAATATTTTAAGTATTTATGTATTTTCAGCAAGTCAAAAAGAGAATGAATGGGATGAAACCAGTACACATAATGGACTCTTACATAACAATTAATTGTCCACATATTGTACATGCAAAGAATAGCGCCACTATAATATTTTATTAAAATAATTAGTGTAGCTGAAAATCCAAATTATTTTTGATCTAACATATCAAAATTATTGCCAAAGTAAAATACAGAATATACTTTTATGCATCTACATTTGAGAAATCCCTAAAGTATATCACATGACATATGTCCATCACTTGATCACCAGCCTTTACATCACTGACAATAAGAACGGCATCACACAAGCGTCACAAGTACCCTTACATAAATGGTTGGCGAGTCTTTGGCACAAGCCATGATATAAAATGTTTCCTAAACGCTGTTTTATCGTTGTTCATTAGTGTTCATTTTTAATGTGCTCGAGCGCTATCAAAGATTTGAACTTATTCAGATAAGTAAAAAGTTTGGGCCCTTGTCCACTTACAGTTGGAAGTAGAGTTCACTAAACCTGCAGTGTTATTTAACTATCAAATTTGAAATATGTGGGCATGAAATTGCAAAAACAATTACATAGCCTAGAAGAAGGAGCTGCAAATCTCTTATAAAAAGTTGAATTTCTATTTTCCATTAGTAAGTAAAGAACTCGTATCCAACAACTATTTTGAAACAATGAAGGCCAAGTCAATGACTATTTTCATGTTAATGGTATTGGACAAAGCATTCAGATTATTAATTTAGGCTTTGACTATATATTTTATTGACAAAAACTGTATAATAAGAGTAAACAGAAGCTTTAGAGTAATTTTTTGTTTACATGTGCATTCTAAGAGCAGACTGACTGTTGTTTCTAATGTCACTGGGGCCAAGATTGTCCTTGATAAAGCCTTTGCTAGGCAACTTGGAGCTTTTGGAAGTTATTGGCCATTTCCAGAACTTTGCTGTTCCGTGACACAGGTGGGCGAGTCTGGAAATAAAGATATTTATATAAAATAATAATACTATAAATGCAATACTGTACATTAACTACATTTTTTTTTTATCATGACTGACAAAAACTTATAACCATTAAAAACAAAATTACTTCCACCAATCACAAACACAAACTGGCCCACACTTAGCATACTTGTACGGTACTCTACTTATCTCACAAACTCGCTCTTTTTTTTCCTTGTGAAATTACTAAGATATGATTTCAGAATAGTACCCGAGATAAAGATGAGCTATGAAAACAGACTGAGACAATTCAATTTAAAAACACTAGAATATAGAAAGAAAGGTGATATGATCACAACAGACAAAATAGAAAAATGCAAACTTTTTCATTTGAGGTACTACAGATCAAATGGAAACACGTGTAAATTGGAAACACAAATAAGCCACAGATATATTAGAAAATGCAATGAAGGTGGAACAATCTTGGGGGCCAAAGTAGTACAAACAATCTTGACATTAGGGATCATGCTGGAACATTACTATGAAGGTAGCAAGTAGTGTATGTTGATTGGGCAGTTAAGGAGCAGTACACTCCAAACGAGGAGGAAACAAAACATCCATTTCAGGAAGTTGGCTTACGGAGAAGGCAAAGGATTTCAGTAGAAAAACAATCTAAGTGAGCAGTGCTTGTACTGCTCACCATGGGTAGATAAGAATATAGATAAATATCAAAGATATGAATTACTATGGTATTGTATAAAAGTATGCAGGAAAACAGTAACACTTAGAAAACATTTCAATATTGTACTTGATGCAATATTTCAAATTTTGTTAAGTACCCTAATGTTATTTTGATGTGCTGTATTTTCAAACTATACTCAAATATTTTTTCCATGATGGGAGGGTTTGACTACTTGCTTGACCATTACCCTTTTCTCAAACCCTCTTGATTCTGAGGTGGTCTTTGGCAGGTCAGAGCATGTATGTTTATTTACATGGCATTAAACTAAGCTTAATCATAACTAAATTTTGATTACCATCATAAATAAAGAAAAAAAGAAGAAACACATGGTGTATTTATACAAGAAAAACAATAAGTATTACATCATGTGTATAAGCAGTGAGAAGGAAGTGTGGTAGGTAAAGGATGTTACCTTGATGTTGCTAGCCTCCTATGATGCACAATTCCAGCCTTAAAAATATTAATTCCAACCTATCTTATAAATATAAAAATATGAAGGAAATTCATAGGTTATTAATCAAATAAACAGTAAATACTTTAAGTACCAGGCCCTAAGCAGAGAAAATGCACTGGGTTTAGGTAGTACAATACTGTACCAATTTGTTCTTATTCATACATCTGCTATTTTGAGAAGGAAATAATTCGTGAGGAGTACAAATGCTGTCACCGAGTGAATCATGTATTGCTCTAAATATTAATTTTCTAATTGTATGTCACTCATGAAAAATCAATATCTAACTACAGTACTACTAATATTTATCATTAGCCTTGTTCTTACATACCCAACCTTGTAATAATGACCAAGTCATGCTGTACATTACTTGCCCTACAATACTGTACCTCTATTTTACTGTAGATGAAAACAGAATCAACATGAAATAATCTATATCTACATTTCCATGGTTACTCTTGTCTATGGTAAGAGCTGTACCATACATAATACTGAACCCATCTAACCAGAAGATTCTCTTTGTCAGACACTGAAATAATACATTTTTCACTAGTATAGCATTTCTACTAATAAAGCACACACACATTCACACTGCAATAAATAAAGCCCACTTGCCTCAATGATTATTTCTTCAGAATCTGGAGTCTTCGTTTGCTTCAGCCTGTCTTCCCGTCGCTGCCTAACTAATACCCTCCAGTCTTCTGCAGCCTGCTGTGTTGTTCCCTGTTCAAGCTTTCCTATACTAGTGGTGCTACTAGTGCTTGTTATACTGGAATTCAGGTCAGTGCTAGGATTGGTGACTGAAGTTGTGGCAGGAAGGCTATCAGAACGACTAGTTGAAGGTGCTGCTTGTGTACGTACAGTGATGGTGAATGTAGGAATGGTGTTGCGAGCTTCAGTAACGGATGATGCTGTCTTTGCAATGATTGAAGAGGGATTTCCTGGCGAGTTATTAACAGAACTTGATGGTGGGGTCCCTAATGCTGAAGAGGTAGATGCTGGTAATAAATTTTGTGTTGGAGGTGTAACTGGAGCACGGGAACAGTCCTTCCCTCCACTCATGAATCTACGCCGTGCAGCACCAATATCAAGTGGCGATACCTCTATTTCAGTTTCTTCAGTTTGATCCGAATCTCGAGTGTCTTCATAATCACTTATTGAGCTCACAGATAATTTCTTTTGCGGTGTAAAAGTTGGGACTGGTATTGCTGAAAGGATCTGTGTCTGTTGAGCTGCCTGTTGTGATTCATCCTGATCTTGATGTAAGCGAGGCGGCCAAATGATTCCAGATCCAGATCGAGACAATAATGATTGCTTTGTGGGGGTAGACGATATTACTAATTCTGATGAACTATTGTCAATTTCGTTTCCACTACAATCGTCATCAATACTTGCAACATTGTTGACTCTGTTGCTAATAATTTTGCTAATTATACCTGTGGATGGTGTAGTAGATATTGTGATGGCACTTTCTGAAACAGCAGGAATTACAGGAACTGTTTGTATTGGGTGTGCAGCTGTGACCTGAATGGGCATGGTAGTTGGTTTATTTTGGGAACTAGTTGTTGTAATATTTGTTGTGGATGAGATAGTGGTTATGTTTCGACTACTACTTGTAATTGTTATTTCTGAACTAGTGGTCACTGTAATATTATTACTTGACAAAACCAGCACAATTGGTTTTGAAGTCAATGGTGAAACAACAGGAATATCTGTGGCTGACACTGGGGGTAGACAAAATGAGAGGGCTGGATTGCCAACAGATTTGCGATTGAAGGAAATGGCATTTATACTTGGTTTCTGCAATCCTTCTGGTGACAGAGAGAGAGAAACTGTTGATAATGGGCTTCCAATAACACAGGGAACTGGCGAGGAATTGTTATGAGTTCTAACAGGAGAGATAGTCACTTCTGACACCTCACTTGATGCTTCCACATCTGGTTCATCGATGTCAGTAGACTCGGATTTATCTTTATCAACATCTTTAACCTTAAAGGATCGTCTTGCAAATACCTTGAACAATTCAGGCTGTTCTCTAGCAGATGGTGAGGATGGCATCTGATTTGTAACAGAACAAGCACGCTCAATTATTGGAGTGCGCTCTGATACCAGAGGTTTTCTTAGCACAACATGCTCTACAGAGGAATCTGATAAAGTGCCTTCAGTACCAGAATCACCATCTCCATACTCTGTAGTGTTTCCAGTGGGTGATGTATCCCTAAATATTCCTCTGTTTCCCTGAATACTTTTTTGAACAGATGGCGCAGTCTGAACATTATTTTCTTTTGAATTAATAACGTTGCTAGCTTCTTTCTTGAGGATAATTGAACTTTCTATGGGACGCTCATATATTTGAATTTCTTTTTGAATAGATTCTGTTACAGCTAGAGCTTCAGGCTTTTTGCTTATTACATCTACATCCTTCTTATCATTTTTAGCATTTTTCTCTTGTTCTGTGTCATAAATAACAGACTGACCTTTGCTCTCTACACGATTCAACTGTATGCGCATAAATTCAGGAACTGGAGTTGGCTCTGGATCCCTTGGTGGAAGACGTTTCATGCTTGGTTCTTTCCTCAATGGACGACGAGGTGCACATTCTCCATCCACCTCGCCTTCCTCTGGAGGTGACCCTTGTATGAAAGATTCTTCGCTTTTGTGTATGGAGTGAGAACGTGAAATTTGCACAGGGGGTTTCTTGCTCTCTGATTTTTCAGATTCTATTTTCCCTTCAATTACATTCAATGTCAGTCCAGCTGTAGCCTTCACTTCAGCAGACTTTTGAACAGTAGGTTCTTTACAGTCAGGTTCCTTGGCTTGATGTGTGTCTACAGTACAACTCACGTGGTCTACGCTGGCTGCCTTTCGCAAAATATCCTCCGATTCACGGGATTGTAAACTTATACTCGAATCTAAAGAAAATGGCCCAGAGTTCATCTCTAATCCACCAATTTGTTGGTGATGGACTTGTTGAAGGTGTTCTTGATGCTTTTGTAAAACTGTTTTATTATGACTTTGTGACTGTTGTCGAATGAATACACCTGGAATTGGTGTGGTAGTTAGAGAATCAGTTGAGGAACGCTGAGATGATGAAGTTTCATTTAATACTGTCTTATTGGAATTAGTATAAAAGGCAGATGATTTTTGAGTAACTTCTACAGCTTCTAGACTTTCGAGTGAAGCTGAAATACGGGATATCTTGGTTGGTACACTGTTCTGATCTTCAACATTTGTCTGTGATGAAACTTTGCGGCGCACAACTTCACGGGTTTTATTTTGTTCTGGCACTTCCCTAAAACTTTTCACTTTCCTTACACCCTCAGTAAGTCTTATGGGACGCTCATCGTATGGAGAGATATGGAAACTGGGTTGAGGAACAGGAGTAGTACTCTCTAAAGATCCCTCAACACTAGCCATGAGTAATGACTGAGGTGAAGTTGATGGAGTCTCTTTTGTGACTCTCTCTCTACTAGTTTCTCTAGTTCGTCCAGATGGAGGTAGAGGGTGAGATTCTTGCCGTGCTGCTTTTGAAGAAGCTCCCACTATGACTGGAAACCGAGTACCGGAGGAGTCTCGTCTCCTCTCTCGAGAAGCTCTTTGGTCTCCACCACGTCTCAGAGGGCTAACACTGTTTTCCCGGCTGTCATCACCACTTCCTCGAGACTGTCGTCGGCCCGAACGTTTACTACCAAATAAACGTTGAAACAGTGGCTCGTCACGTTTTTCTTCTTTATCCTTTTCTTTCTTGTCAAATTCATGTTCAGTATGTGCTTGGCTTTCAACACTGGTACTGAGGGATTCTTCCACAGTATCTAAAAGAAAAGTGAAAGTGTTAACAAAAGTGCATTAGAGGGAAACTGTGCATCATAAAATAAAGAGCAATATTGTATTCATTTTAAGGCCAGGTATCGATAGCTGAACATTCTCATGCCAAACAGTTTCATCATAATGAACAGTGATCTTATTACTACAGTAGTAACAAAGCCTAATTAATTGGTATATATAATTTGTAAGTTAAGAGACAGTGACCTGTGTCAGGGTGTGGAATGCTTGGCAATGGAGAGGGTGTGGCCACAGTGGAAGGCTTCCGAGATATGGCATTCTTGTTGTTGGCTTCTTCAATAACATCAGGTAGACTAATTTGTCCTGCAATCTGTTGAATATTTAAATTTGTTATCTTACTATGCTTAAAATACATGACATAAATCCATCAATATATCTACTTCAAAATCTAAAAGTTGTCAAGATACCATATGCCACCTACATCTTACTACATATTACAGTGGTACCTCGGAATGCGAGTGTCCCTGTATGCGAGTTTTTCGGAAGACGAGCAGTATTTACTCCAAAAATTTGCCTCGGAAGGCGAGGGTTACCTCGGGACGCGAGTTTGTTGATACGCGTACAGGCCGACCTAGCGCGTGGTGGTTCGGCGATCGTCGCCCCTCTGCCCCGCCGCCCCTCAGTTTACCATTGTCTCGCGCTCAGTGACTACCCCCACATCAATTCTTCTCGCGGATATTCAGTGTTTTGTTGGATTTTTGGTGATTTGTCTATACAATGTTATTATATATCTCACCATGGGTCCCAAGAAAGCCAGTGGTAAGGATAAAGGCCAGAAAGCTCATGTGAGGATGACAATAGAGGAGAAACAAGAGATCATTCGGAAGCATGAGCATGTAGGTTATCTTGAGGTTATCTTGAGATGATTTCGGGGCTTTAGTGTCCCCGCGGACTGGTCCTCGAACAGGCCTCCACCCCCAGGAAGCAGCCCGTGACAGCTGACTAACACCCAGGTACCTATTTTACTGCTAGGTAACAGGGGCATAGGGTGAGAGAAACTCTGCCCATTGTTTCTCACCGGCGCCTGGGATCGAACCCAGGACCACAGGATCACAAGTCCCGCGTGCTGTCCGCTCGGCCGACCGGCTCCCCGGCTCCCCATGTACACGTGTTGTTGAACTTTGTAGGCAGTACAACAAAGCCACATCAACAATATGCACTATACTTAAGAAGAAAAATGAGATTATGGGTGCTAAAGTGGCAAAAGGAGTAAGAACATTAACGGCACAAAAACCACAAATACTTGAAGAAGTGGAAAAGTTGTTATTAATTTGGATACACGACAAGGAGTTGAGGGGTGATAGTGTTTCGGAGGCCATTATTTGTGAGAAAGCCAGGGTGTTGCACGAAGACCTTCTAAAGAATACCCCTGCAACGAGTGATGCAGATAAGAAAGAGTTTAAGGCAAGCAGGGGCTGGTTTGAAAAATTTAGAAAGAGAAGTGGTATCCATAGTGTTACAAGGCATGGGGAGGCAGCCAGCTCAGACAAACCAGCCGCTGGACGATTTATTGACGAATTTAAAGAGTTTGCAGAGGCTGAGGGATACCTACCGCAACAAGTGTTTAATTGTGACGAAACAGGACTGTTTTGGAAAAGAATGCCTAAGAGGACATACATTACCAAGGAGGAAAAATCCTTGCCTGGACACAAGCCTATGAAAGATAGGTTTACGCTTGTGCTGTGTGGAAATGCGAGTGGCGATTTGAAAATTAAACCCTTGCTAGTGTATCATTCTGAAAATCCAAGGGTTTTCAAACAGTATAATGTGCAGAAAACCCATTTGTGTGTGATGTGGAAGTCTAATAAAAAAGCATGGGTGACTAAGCTTATTTTTTCGGAGTGGGTGAATGAAGTGCTGTGCCCTGCCATAGAAAAATATCTGCAGGAGAAACAATTGCCACTCAAAGCCGTGCTTCTCCTTGACAATGCTCCTGCTCATCCTCCAGGCTTGGAAGATGATTTGTTGCCTAGATACAATAAATTCCTCACAGTTAAATTCCTTCCTCCTAACACCACTCCTCTAATTCAGCTTATGGACCAGAAAATCATAGCGAATTTTAAGAAACTTTATGAAAGGGCACTTTTCCAGAAATGTTTTGAAGTAACTGAAGCCACAAACCTCACCCTCAAAGAGTTCTGGAGAGAGCATTTTAACATTTGTAGTGCTTTAAAACTCGTTGACAAAGCCTGGCAAGAAGTGACTCAAAGAACCCTGATCTCTGGCTGGAGAAAATTGTGGCCTGAAGGTGTGAGAGAACTAGACTTTGAGGGGTTTGCGCCTATAAATGATGCCCCTATTGTTGAGGAAATTGTTAGTCTAGGCCAGCAAATGGGCTTGGAATTGGATGGTGATGATGTGGAGGAGTTGGTGGAAGAACACAACGAAGAACTGACCACCGAAGAACTCCTAGCCCTTCAACAGGAACAGCAAGCCAACGCAGCAGCGAATGATTCTGCAGTGGAGGAGGAGGTGGCAACAGCACCAGCGAATGTCCCTTCTGCAGTAATTAAGAAGGTGTGTCAGATGTGGGAAGAGATTCAAACAACTATTGAACAGACTCACCCAGAGAAAGCTGTAGTAGGCCGTTGTCTTAATCTTTTCAATGACAATGTGATGCCTTACTACAGAGACAGCTTGCGAAGAAGGGAAAAGCAAGCTTCCATGGACAGATTTGTGGTGAGGAAATCGAGCAGTGAGCCTCAACCAGGACCTAGTGGCACTCAGGTAAAACGTCCCAGGGAGAGCACACCAGAAAGGTCCTCACTGCCTGATGTGATTATGGAAGGGGACTCCCCTTCCAAACAGTAACTCCTCTCCTCCTCCATACGCCTACAGCACTCGACAGCAAGGTAAGTAATAACTGGAACATAGTTTTGTAGGTTTATTTAGATGAATTAGGTAAATTAGGTATAAAAATTTAGTTTGATGTGGGGTTTTTGGGGTAGTCAGGAACGGATTAATTCATTTCCCTTTATTTCTTATGGGGAAATTAACTTCGGAATGCGAGTTTTCGGAATACGAGGTGTCTCCAGGAACGGATTGTTACGAACCCGGATCCAGCATCCGAGCACGGAGCAGTGACGACCGCGCCATCTGTGGGTCAGCTCCCGAAACCCCCTCCAAAAGGACGACGACATCTGGTGAGGACGACGTGTACTAGCTACGAGGGCCAGTTTCCAGTCCCGTTCAGCACTCAACACCGCCGCCGCTGACCTCTGGTGAGGTGGTGCTCAGACTACAACGCCATCTATGGAGTGGATATGTCGGGCGTTTGTGTCTGAGCCTGTAAGTGAGGTGCCTTAGTGTGTCCCAGTTATTGATGACGTGTCTGCTTACAGAGTCGACCTGGGACTGCTGTGATGGAAGTTGAGTCGGTCTACCCGAGGCAGCCGTCTCCATACCGTGTGCTTTGCTGCAGCAGCTATGAAGTCGTCCCCCGGAAGAACACTGTGGTGTTACCCTGCCAGTGGAGTGGCAGTAGAAGGATCGTCATACCCGGGACCGACTGCTGGAGAAGATTATCCACTGGGGTACTGAGGACAGGAGAGCGATTTGTGATATCACACGAGGCTCCTGTCTAGGGCGTTACCCTAATATCGCCCGTGGAGTGGCCTGACCAGCCTTGCTGATCCGGAACCTGCCAGCGAACCTGCTGGACGTGTGGTTGACGGCCTCCACGGCGGTGCCCCCAGTGGACCTGTGTTTTGGCTGACCTGTGGCCAGGGTAGGCTCAACTTCTCAGAGGATTCGTTGTGAGGCCACGAAGAAGCACCGAGGACTCAGCACCGAGAGTTTTGCTCCAGAGTCTTCAGCAGAAGACAATTGTGTATTTTCCCCTTGTACAGCGTTAATACCCCTCCCCCTGTGCACTTTTATATATTATTTATTTGGTGATGGGAACAATTATAGTCTTAAGTTCTTAACTTTCTTTCCCTTCCCCCTTTAAGTTTCTTGCGTCACGGATCACATCCCTTGAAAGCCACTACTGGCTTGGGGTCGGATATAACTTCCTCTAACAACATCAGAGTAAGAACCCCGTTGCGTCCCGAGAGGGCCGTAACACGGATTAAACTCGTATTCTGAGGTATGCCTGTAATTCACCTTCTTAAATCAAGATAGTTTAGTTGAAGCAAGACATTAAATTGGAGCTTAAAATCTTGCTCCTTTTGTTCTACAGATACTGCAAATAAAATTTATTTATCTGAAATTTGTGAAATAGTTCACCAAATTGGTCTGACAAACAAATAAGGAGTTAGAACCAACTACAGTACTTTATCTTCACTAACATGTAGGGATAAAACCAGTGACAATATACAGGGTTAAGAGTATTCCTAATGCAGACCAAATCTCTCAGCCCTCCAGGAACAATGCATGGTATTTATAATACCTGTATACAAATGCCAGAAGAATGAATGAATGTTATACATCATGTGAATATGGGTGTTATGCACATGATAGCTTAGTAGTTAGAGAATCCTGACATAATTGGGATGAGAAAAGATAATGGATGGTGATCTTTCAGGGTATCACCCACCATTTAGAAAGGACAAAAAGAGCAACAGGCAAGCATAATACAGTACATAATAGAGGACTTCTTTACAACCAGTAACGAAGATTCGTCTTTCTGCCAAAGCTATAAATGCTAAAACAATACAGTACTTCTGCTTAAAAAAAATAGAAAGAATTCCTCAGGAATACTGGTGGAGGACCTTGAGAAGAATTTAGCTTCCTGTCCCGATCAAGGTCACTGGAGAAGGTGGTCCTTAGGTAAATATACAGTACTATAGTTTGTATCCTTGTTTATGTCAGATATGAGGATAAGAAAAAGTACAGGAGCAAGTATGGTACCTTGGGGGACTGATATTTTCATGTAGGATGATCCAGATTTTACTATGTTGACTATTATTTTATGAGTTTTGTTCGTTAGGAAGTTAAAGATCCATCCCCCATACTTTGCCAGCAATTCCTTTTGAGCTCATTTTTTCATAACACCATGGTCACATTTGTAGAAAGATTTTGGAAAGTTTGTGTTTATTACATCTGTGTTTTGCTTCTCTTCCATGGCATCTAAGGCCATGTTAAATTGATCTACCAATTGTGAAAGGCAGGAGTGCACCATTCTGAATTTGTGTTGTCCGGGGTTATGTAGATGTAATTCCATGTGATTTGTAATCTTACTTCTTAGCACTCTTTCAAATATTTTTATGATGTGTGAAGTAAGAACTATTGGTCTATAATTTTTTGCATCTGCTGGACTACCTTCTTTGTGAAGTGGCGCAATCTCCACTGTTTTAAGTATGTCGGGATGACAACAGTATGGATCAGGGGGTGCCATAGGCACAATAAGAGAACACTGTATAAACATCAGAGGTCCATGGCTGTTCATCATCCTCCTAGCAAGTATAAGAAATATTGCCGGAACAACCATTGACATCTTCAAGAGAAAACTAGATCAATTTCTTCAAGAAGTGCCGGACCAACTGGGCAGTGTTGGATATGTGGGCCTGCGGGCCGCTCCAAGCAATAGCCTGTTACTTGGAGCGCAACCCTATCAAGCAGGTATAAAGCAATATCCAGGCTTTGTCTACAAAAGATGTTTAGGGCCTGTGGTAATGGTGTTTTGTACTTCTTGATGAATATAGAATTCCAGGAGTCTGGGCCTGGTGCAGAGTGCCCGGATGTGTTGTCTATGGGTACTTCAAAGTCCATTGGGGTTAGTGAAACATCTGATATATGGCTAGATGTTGGTGTCACATTCATAAAGTATTTGTTTGAGTAATTGATCTTCAATGTGTTCAGGGGTTCACTGAAAACAAACTGCACCAAAGCCTCAGCACTCATTTCTTTGTTGCCATCTGTGAAAGTTCTATCACCCTTGTGCGAGGGGTGCAATGCTGGATGAAGTTTTTGTTCAAGTTTTTGTATAGGTGAAAAGGTGTTTTGGATTCCTCTCTATTTCACTTATGGCCTTTTGATCTCTTTGCCTCTCTTGGATTTTATATGATTCTTGCAGCTTGAGCTTAATTTCTATTTCCCTATATAACCTTCCTTGTCGTTGCTGGAATAAAGTGGTACATTTGAGATGTTCTGCTATTTTTTTTCTTCACCCATTGAGGAAACGCCACAATATTCTGGCAAGGTCTTGCTTTTTTCGTTTCCAGTTAATCAGAACATATAATCGCAACTTTGTAACTCGATGAAAACAGAAAGCTGGTAGTTTGTCGAAGGTCCTCCCCATTTGTCATGATAATTTTACCGAGCTGGATCATAAATTGCAGTAGTGTTTCAGCATTTACGGCTTCAATGGACAGGAGGTTCCATGGGTTTATAACCCTACGAGTGAAAAAGTATCTCCTGTTTTTTGTCCTATGTTGTGGCTGTTGAGTTTGAAACATAGGCTTCTCGACAATGCGAGAAGTCGAGACAACTGGCTGCAACTGCCGACACAATGCAATGCAGGTCCTACCAGGTCCAGGGGCATTGAAAAAGTAGTGAGCAGCCAGGAACCTGTTCAACCTCCTAAACCTCGCTCGCCTCGCTCATGCCACCAGAAACCACACGCTCGGTCAACCCATGTGTGTTGATGGAATGATGGCCAAGCGAGACAAAGCTCTTGCACAGTCAAATTTTACAAAGAAATTGGGCTTGTAAATGGCAAAATTCGTAAAGAGGGGCATTCGTCAACCGAGGTTCTACTGTATGTTTAATTCTAGAAAGTAGGAATAGAGCTGTTTGTAAATAAGCTTTTCAAATATTTATGATAATATTGGTAGATTTGATATCGGTCTGTAATTGTTTATGTCAGCAGTATCACCTCCTTTCTGAATTGGCGTTACTCTTGCTTTTTTACAGATATCAGGAAAAGTATGACACACTAGGGATTTATTGAATAGCAGCACTATCGGTAGTACAAGGGCATGAGTGGCACTCTTATATACCACCATAGATGGTACTTTCACTTATGTTCCCAGCTTTGTTTTTTAGCGAATGAATGATGGATATAATGTCTGTCAGGCTGACTGGTAAAAGGAGTAGAGTGTTGAGATATCTGCCGGTGAGATATTTACCTGAATTTACCTGAGGGCCACCAATACTAGTGGCCTTGATAAGGACAGGAAGCTAGCCGCTTGTCAAAGGTCCTCCCCATTTGCCCTGATGATATTTTCTAGCTGCATTTTAAAACCCAGCAGGGTTCTGGCACTCATGGCTTCGAGGGAAAGGCGGTTTCACATGTTTACATCCCTATGGGTGAAAAAGCATCTTCTGTTTTCTGTCCTACATTGTGGCTTGTTGAGCTTTGAACCCATTGCTCCTCATTCGTGTTACATCTGACCTTTAGAAGAAACTGTTTGGATCGACATCATCCAAATTATTTAGTATTTTTAAGGTTTCTATGAGATCCCTCCTGTCATGCCTGGTCTACAATGTTGTTAGCCCTGTGGCCATCAACCAGTCCTGATACAAGAGATGACTAAGCTCTGGTATGATTTTTGTTGATCGGTGTTATGGTGTTATGGGATATGTGGTAACATGTGTCTGGGTCTGCGGGATTTTTCTCATAAGGTTAGGACTAATTGATGAAAAGAAGCTAATTAATTAAATTATGTTGCCATTTCTAAGTCTGTTGCAAGTGTGCAACCATCTTTGGAGTTTTATCTGCCTGTTGTTCAGATCCAAGGATGTTAGAGATGGCTTTCAATGTGGTTTTCATATTTCCTTTTGCTTCTTTAAATCTATTCTCATAAATGGAAAGTTTGGCTCTTATTATTTTACTGTTAAACATTGATGAGTATCTCTTAACTACTACTTTTGTAACTAGGCCAATTCTTGGATTTTTTTTCATATTCGTTGTTACTTTTTCATATTCAGATTGTAATTAGTTATTAAAGCTTTTTTACTACCTGTGTCATCTATCTAGTTTTCTTTCTTTTCTTCCTCTTTCTTGGCATATATTTCTGAGCAGATTCAATAATCTTTTTTTTTTTTTTTAATTTTCTCATGATGATTCCATGTCTTCATCTCCTATTAACTCCCTCCAGGTAGTGCCTTGCAATTCTTCTCTCATTCCTTGATAGTCTCCTTGAGGATAGCCTAGAAAGCCATCATCCTGGACATGCTTATGAAAGAGTACTCAAGCAAAGGACTCACAGAACAGTTAAAAGCAGTACAGATAAACTGAGCACCAAACAGACCCGGGAACCCAAGCAGAATCAATTCAACAAGGGAAAGACAGTGAACCCAATCGAAGACTCCAAGCAAAAAACAGCCATGCACAAGCCAATGATGGAACCAACCAGAATCCCCACCAGAAACCCGATCCAGGTCAGCCAGGAAGAACGAGACTCCTGGCCTACAGGTGAAGGAAAAGGAAAGTACCAAAAGAAAAATGACACAAACAACACTACAGTACCAGAAAGGAACAAGACAGCAGGGCCCACATGAAGGCCCTGAGAGGAATGCAAAAAGAGGAAACAAAGGGATGTGTCACTAGAAAGATGTCACAGGAACAATAAAGAAAAGCCCCCCACCATACTCATTTGTTAGGTTCAAACTAACTAAACCCTAGGAATAATCAAACATACCTTTGACTTTAAGGACAGGAAGGTGGTGATTCAAATGTATAAATCTCTGGTGCACCCCCATTTGAATTACTGTATCCAAGAATGGAAACCCCCTCTTCAAAAGGATATAGCGCTCTGGTGAAAGTGCAACATCGGGCCACAAAAATCATTTCAGTGATAAGTCATCACTCATATTAAGAAAGGTTGAGGGCCACAGGGCTAATAACACTGCAAACCAGGCATGACAGGGCAGATTCTCATTGAAACTTTTAAAATACTGAACAATTTGGTGGATGTTGATCCATAAAATGACTTGAACATGTCAAAAGTAACACAAACAAGGAGCAATGGTTTCAAGCTCGACAAGCCACATTGTAGAACTGAAAACAGGAGACCCTTTTTCACCCACAAGGTTATAAACCCATGGAACTGTCTACCCTCCAAAGCCGTAAATGCAAGGACTCTGTTAAATTTAAAAATCGGGGACGGGGGGAGGATTTTCGACAAGCCGCCAGCTTCCTGTCCATGTCGAGGTCAGTAGTGCTTGTGGCCCTCAGTTAAACTCAGGTATTTGTCTGAAATCCAAGGCTATCCCAGAATTTGCAATAAATATGAAATGCCTCAAGAAGAGATATAAACAGTGAGAACATGAATCATCAGAGCCATCATGAAGACCCTCCTCTACTATTTATTTGTTTATTTAGGTATCACCCAAGCAAAAAATTACAAAACTGAAAAAAAAATATTATTACACACACGAGTGAAGCATCATGTAAGGTACTCTCTGTAAACGAGGAAAATGCAAACCCAACATTGCAGAATTCTTGACCAGAAACTTAGCACACAGGTGATGCAAAATAAATTTTCCACATGCAAGCCAGACAGTCAAATGTTTTTAAAGGCTCGACAGTTGCCTTGACTAACAATGTCAGAATTCATAATTTCAGATATCTATTCAAACATGATCATTTTATTTACTCACCTGGGTTGCCCTTCTGGAGCGAGGAGCACCGTGGGTTCGTCGAGGCCTGACTGCAATCTTGTGAAAAGCAGCTTGGTGACTCAGTCGAACAGCACCAACAACTGGTTCATTATCTGTTGGAGTGAAAGGTCAGTAAATGACAATCTCTAGAGAGAATGAGACTGTACAGAATCAGTCCATAATGACAGGTCCAGTTGATTCTTTAATACAATATTTTTGTCAACAATATGATATTCCTTTAAAGTTTAACAAAAATCATGTTTAATTAATTACACACCAAAAGTATGTCACAAGATCTTAAAACTCTATACAAGGGGGTGGTTCCCTGCCTCACAGACCAACCACTTGAGTCGGACGGTAGAGCGACAATCTCGCTTCATGCAGGCCGGCGTTCAATCTCCAACTTTTCCAACGAAATTGGGGTCGTAACTCAAAAAATTTGTAAGTAGGGGCACTTGTGAATCGAGGTTACACTGTATACATAGTCGGACATATGTTGAAATAAAATCACAAACACGTGCACAGTCCAGACTAGCACTGTGTGTGGCGTCTCACTCTATATGGGCTCACCAGAGTCAAGACCCTCCACCAGGCTCATTGGGTTGTAATAATGCACCACAAAATGCGAGTTGATATGTACACAATTTAATTACAAGTACTCACTCTTACAGGGTCCACATTCATACAGCACGCTCTTCATCATCGGTGCATGGGGAGTCGCCCTCAACCGATGGGTATCCTGGAGTTGTGACTTGTAGCTTTCGAGAGTGACAGTGCTCACAAGAGTTCAACTACAGCATTCATCTTATCCATCCTCTTCATGGCATCCTGAGAAATGACTCCGTGGGAAGCTAGCACGAAAGAGCCAGCTCTTACCCTCCCCCATTACGTCAAAGCTTATAGACCAGCCCACCAATCAGAATGAAGTGTCAACCATACATAGGCCTCCTGATTGACTGAGCTCTTAATGCTACTCGGGTGGCAGTGAGACACAGGGAACAGGCCTGCAATGCGCTTTGGCTTTTGTGGTTAAACAGAGTAACCCAAGTGAGTCCCAGCCACACTCCACAGCTACTTTTGGGGGTATACCCCCCTTCCATGAACATACAGGCTAGTTATACAAACTGCCCTCCTAGTATAACCAGGCATCGCACATCAACAGACAACCGAATTCTGAACCACTGGCACGATTCCCAATTCATACACACCCAACACGATTGTACTTTTGTCCATAGATAGGCGAATACCAATGCTCAATAAACTTCCTGTGCAGAGCTGCTCAGCAATTCTGGAGTGCAAGTCTAGTTGTGAGAAACTGTTCTCTAACACCCCCTGTTAACACTGTTTTCTTTTAGCCCCTCTTCTAGCTATACAAACCATTTATTACAGAATAATCTCGACTGAGACTACTATTGAGCCTTATGATGCTCAGTAGTACTACTGAGCCTTATGATGCAGCCTTCATGAAAAACTATTTCTTTTGTTCATGAACATGAGAACAAGAGGAAACTGCAGTAGGCCCATTGCTAATACATGCGAGTTCCAGGAAGCAACAATACTAAAATGAGATATTAATGAAATAACCGAGTATTAATAATCTTACTAAAATCATTTTTTAATTGATCAATTAAAATTGGATCCAAATTGTACAACCAATTACTAATGCTAATATTGTATAGTTCTGTGATTTGAATTCAAGCAGGTTCAATAATGTTTCTACTGAAAATTATTTAACAATTAGTTATCTTATAAGAACTCTCCCAATCAATTTGGTGAGAATTTTTTAACAAATGAATGATTAGAGTATTAGATAATTGGCAAATTTTTACTGAATATTTATGCTGTAAAATTAAAAATTTAATATCTTTAAATGTTTGTAATAAAGATTGTAATGAACTGTATATAGATCAAACATCCAAAGATTTTAAATTTTGAATTTCACAGCATAAATATTCTGTAAAAAATGGCCATCTAATGCTCTATTTATTCATTCATCAGAAATTCTCACCAAATTGATGCTGTATGTATTTTTATGATTTTGGACTGAATTCCATTCACACCTGGGGTGTTAGGTGTTTAAAATTGATGTTCAAATTAAGTGGGAGTCACTATATGCTTCCTGATACTTTAGCACAAAATTGGGATATTCCTTAATTCATTTTTTTTCTACTTTAAATGTCTGAGTGGGTGTTGGGATGTTGTCCAATCTTTCTGTGTACACATGTAAAGTATTCATTCCAGTTGGCTGCCCTTTTACAATCAGTTATAACGTAGTTTACACTTTCAACTACTGAATCGCTTGCCCTAGTTTTATTGCTTACATGAAAAATAGGAATTTGTATCTTTCATGGTGTTTTGACCACGTTTTCTTTCATATTTACTTTTTGCCGATTTGTTTTCTGCGTAGTTGAATTAATGACTTTTTGAATCTCTCAATCTATGTGATACTTGGTGAACTGTAAAGTTAAGATGCATTACATTAGAAGCATATGTTGAGGTTTAAAAGTTGAAACATTTAAGCACAATGATGTTTTAGAGGTGAACTAACCATATCTTTAAAATATAAATACCAAGTAATTAATTCTTAGTCATCATCTGTGTTTAAATTAATAAGATGCAAATATTTAAAATAAATTTACCATACAAGAAAACGTGTAATCTCATCCATGAAATGTACAACCCTCCTGCATTACATGTAGCTTTCTCATGACATCGGCAGCCTTCTTGTGGTACGTGCAGCCTCTCTCTCTCATGTGCACCATGCAGTCTTTGTGATGCTCGCTTTATTTTCATTTTAAATTTAGCCTTTTTATGTTACGTGCAGCCTTTCCGTGATACGTGCAGCCTTTCCATGGTACGTGCAGCCTTTATTTCCATATGCAGGTTATGTTTACTTTTGATATTTTTTAATTGGATGTTTGATATAGAGCAAATATCAGAATTGTTGTTCAAACATTTCTAGAATGGTATATATGCATACTTTAATGATACAGTATAAATAATGATTACAGAATAAACAGAAGTAAAATTAGAAAATTATTTTCCCACAAATATGATGCGAAGAGGACAGTACAACCAAGAAAGCAACATAAATAAGCCTTTGAGCAGAGGAAAACCCTTGTCACCTTAAATTATATTATAAAAATAATGAAAACTGCATCTGACAGCTTAAAAGGGATACAGTATGCTGTATTGCAATAACAAACACCACAATGACCATACAGGGTTGTTGTAAAGCCAACAGCTGAACCCAAAGTGGACATTTAATATAAAAGCAGGATAAATCAGAACCTTTGAGCACAATTATACTAGAGTTGGTCACACATGAGCCCGGGGGCCTGACCTGACCTGATAGTTCTTCATACTCTTCCAAGAACGCCACACGGCCATCAATAACAGAGTCGCTGATATAGGAAATCCGTGTACCAGCCCTGCATGGAACGTGTTTGTGCAGTGGAGTGGGACTTTCTGCAGAGCACTCCATGGTGCCTTCTGTGGTGTTCTTTGTTGGGCCTCCTGCGATAGCCACAGTGAGTCGGGATGAAGTGACAATAATGGGCTAGTAACGGTCAGTAGACTGACAAATGTTGTCACAACTCAAATATGACTTGGTTACAGGTATCTCTGGCAGTTCCAGATCTACATGAAGTGTAAAATGTATGGACAAAGACAAGGACACACATTAGAGCATTACATCTTTAGACTGCAAAAAAAACCCTGCCATTTAGAGGTAAATCTAAACTCATGCTGCATGACAGCGCAAACCATCGTATTACAAATGATAAAAACATCTGAAATCTTTGCATTGTATTCATATTTTGCTTCTACTAAATGAATGACATATGAATATATAAGCTGCATAGTGCAGAATAACAATAATAATAAACAGCAGCTCTTCTGTGATTCTGTAATCACCCATATTCAAATTATTTTATGTATTAGCAAAGACCTACATTCCATGCAAAATAATACATTGAAAATACATAGAGGTTTCAATGCAAATAGTTTGCTACTAATTATTATTATAATTATAAGGTATGCAGGTTAGATGTAAAATTTAATGTAAAAATATTCCTGCCGAGGTCTGATTTAGACCTTGTGTGCCCTATTTAATCCTTTTTTGTGTTACTGCTCACAGGATGAGTATGGGGGGCACAATCAACTAGTGCCGATAGTATGAGTATGTGGTGCACATTAAACGAGCACTCATAATATAAGCATGGGGTGAACAATAAACTATCCCACATAGGATTATTATGAGGTGTACAATAAACTAGCCCTCATAGGATAAGCATGGGGGTGTACAATGAACGGGCACTCATAGGAGAAGTAAGGGGTGTACAATGAACTAGCGCTCATAGGATATGTATGGGGGGTACAATGAACTAGCACTCATGGGATAAGTATGGGGCATACAATGAACTAAAACTCAGGATAAATATGGGGTGTACAATAAACTAGAACTCATAGGAAAAGTATGGGATGCATAATAAATTAGTACTCACAGCCTACTTTATAAGTTTACTGCTACCTTACTAGCCATCTAATTTTTAGGAGGTTGTAATAATATGTATTTATTAACACATTAGGATGATAAAAGGTCTCGCAATATATTGCCTCAGTATATCTCAATACATGCAATTTAAAAAAATTAAAGAAACCCACAGGGTTTCAAAACAAAAACAATGCTTTTTACATGTCATCTGGAGACTACACGTCTCAGGCTGCCCAGGTTGGCCACCAGGGGACTACACTGCCCAGGTTGGCCACCAGGGGACTACACTGCCCAGGTTGGCCACCAGGGGACTACACTGCCCAGGTTGGCCACCAGGGGACTACACTGCCCAGGTTGGCCACCAGGGGACTACACTGCCCAGGTTGGCCACCAGGGGGCTACACTGCCCAGGTTGGCCACCAGGGGGCTACACTGCCCAGGTTGGCCACCAGGGGGCTACACTGCCCAGGTTGGCCACCAGGGGGCTACACTGCCCAGGTTGGCCACCAGGGGGCTACACTGCCCAGGTTGGCCACCAGGGGGCTACACTGCCCAGGTTGGCCACCAGGGGACTACACTGCCCAGGTTGGCCACCAGGAGACTACACTGCCCAGGTTGGCCACCAGGGGGCTACACTGCCCAGGTTGGCCACCAGGGGGCTACACTGCCCAGGTTGGCCACCAGGGGGCTACACTGCCCAGGTTGGCCACCAGGGGGCTACACTGCCCAGGTTGGCCACCAGGGGGCTACACTGCCCAGGTTGGCCACCAGGGGGCTACACTGCCCAGGTTGGCCACCAGGGGGCTACACTGCCCAGGTTGGCCACCAGGGGGCTACACTGCCCAGGTTGGCCACCAGGGGGCTACACTGCCCAGGTTGGCCACCAGGGGACTACACTGCCCAGGTTGGCCACCAGGGGACTACACTGCCCAGGTTGGCCACCAGGGGACTACACTGCCCAGGTTGGCCACCAGGAGACTACACTGCCCAGGTTGGCCACCAGGAGACTACACTGCCCAGGTTGGCCACCAGGGGGCTACACTGCCCAGGTTGGCCACCAGGGGGCTACACTGCCCAGGTTGGCCACCAGGGGGCTACACTGCCCAGGTTGGCCACCAGGGGGCTACACTGCCCAGGTTGGTCACCAGGGGGCTACACTGCCCAGGTTGGCCACCAGGGGGCTACACTGCCCAGGTTGGCCACCAGGGGGCTACACTGCCCAGGTTGGCCACCAGGGGGCTACACTGCCCAGGTTGGCCACCAGGGGGCTACACTGCCCAGGTTGGTCACCAGGGGGCTACACTGCCCAGGTTGGCCACCAGGGGGCTACACTGCCCAGGTTGGCCACCAGGGGGCTACACTGCCCAGGTTGGCCACCAGGGGGCTACACTGCCCAGGTTGGCCACCAGGGGACTACACTGCCCAGGTTGGCCACCAGGAGACTACACTGCCCAGGTTGGCCACCAGGGGACTACACTGCCCAGGTTGGCCACCAGGGGACTACACTGCCATGGTTGGCCACCAGGGGACTACACTGCCATGGTTGGCCACCAGGGGACTACACTGTTCAGGCTGGCCACCTGCATGATGGGGTTCTGGGAGTAGTTCTACTCCCCAAGCCCGGCCCGAGGCCAGGCCACCTGCATGATGGGGTTCTGGGAGTAGTTCTACTCCCCAAGCCCGGCCCGAGGCCAGGCTTGAATTGTGAGAGCTTGGTCCAACAGGCTGTTGCTTGGAGCGGCCCGCAGGCCCACATACCCACCACAGCCCGGTTGGTCCGGCACTCCCTGGAGGAAACAATCTAGTTTCCTCTTGAAGATGTCCACGGTTGTTCCGGCAATATTTCTTATGCTTGCTGGGAGGGTATATGTTGTCTGTATTTCTTCTATTTCAGCAATCTCTCCTGCTCTTAAGGGGGAAGTGAGTACTGAGCAGTACTCGATGACGGGACAACACACATGATTTGAATAGTAAAACCATTGTGGTGGGATCCCTGGATTTGAAGTTCTCGTAATCCATCCTATCATTTTTTTGGCCGACGCAATATTTGCTTGGTTATGCTCCCTAAACGTTAGGTCGTCAGACATCATTATTCCCAAATCCTTTACATGTTGCCTTCCTACTATGAGCATATCTGATTGTGTTTTGTACCCTGTATTATGTTTAATGTCCTCATTGTTACTGTACCTGAGTACCTGGAATTTATCACTGTTAAACATCATGTTATTTTCTTATCACATGCCTCTGTATGACTAACCCATCCTGTGTGATGCGCATTTTTAGCACCACGTAGCTAGCTTTTTGCCACACACTGTACTCTCCTTCATATAGTCTAGGGCAGCTGCACAAATTCACATGTACCTAAATGTATTAATGAACAAAAACAAAACAAAAATGGTTAGCAGGCATGTGTCAGTTTCTTAATAATCCTCATGCGGTTGATAGGATTAATTCAAAATTTTCAAACGAAAAATGGTGATCTTACCTACGACCTGGTGACGAGCCTCCAGCAGGGAGACCCTGGAGGAGTGGTGAGACCCGGCTCCCAGAGAATCCTGCAAAAGAAAACACTAGTCAGAAGTAGCAACGGAACACGTTGGGCTGAACTAAACACATGTTCACTAAGAAAATTCTGGTCTTTTGTTGTTGTTTTTTAACACAGATGGGTACTGGAACAGACGACTGCCGACTCCTGTTAGCAGGCTGAGAGCTCTCCATTCCCATAGCTCATGGTAAGCCTTTCCCTCAAGTTTTCCCTGCAATACGACTTGCCAATCGTTAAACAACCAGGTACTTAATCACTTGCTGGGTGAACAGAGCCATACAGTTTAGGATTGGTGCCTAGTTAATTCTCCCTGGCCTGGATATGAATCTAGGCCAAATCGCTTGCAAAATGTGTGTGTTACCACTGCGCCACTGGGACTACCTGGTGGAGGCAATGAAGATGAAGAAAAAGAGCCTCTACCTTGCATGGGGCAGCAGAGGCTGCCTCCCACGGGCTAGCGGCGGCTGCCCGTGGGAGGCAGCCGCCTCCCACGGGCAGGCGTGTTAAGCACGAAATGTGCTCAACTATTTCTGTACCGCCCGACCAGAACCCAGAATTCGCGATTGTGCGTCGAGAACGAACCCGACTGTACTACCGAGACCCTTCAAAATATATAGCAAATACCGTATATTAATACTGGGAGCCGAGCGGACAGCACGCGGGCTTGTGATCCTGTGGTCCTGGGTTCGATCCCAGGCGCCGGCGAGAAACAATGGGCAGTTTCTTTCACCCTATGCCCCTGTTACCTAGCAGTAAAATAGGTACCTGGGTGTTAGTCAGCTGTCATGGGCTGCTTCCTGGGGGTGGAGGCCTGGTCGAGGACCGGGCCGCGGGGAAACTAAAAGCCCCGAAATCATCTCAAGATAACCTCGAGATAACTGTAAAAGAGGAGAGTACAGTGACACTTAACTTGATGTTAACCAGACCACACACTAGAAGGTGAAGGGACGACGACGTTTCGGTCCGTCCTGGACCATTCTCAAGTCGATTGTGAAAATGGATTCGACTTGAGAATGGTCCAGGCTTCACAATCGACTTGAGAATGGTCCAGGACGGACTGAAACGTCGTCGTCCCTTCACCTTCTAGTGTGTGGTCTGGTCAACATACTTTAGCCACGTTATTGTAACTCATCGCCTGCACTTAAAATGTTAAAATATAGGCGCTAATTATTGCAGAACACAGCACACATTAACATATACAGGCCAGTGACTAAACTTAGGAGAAGCAGACAAACGAGCATCGAGACAAAGGTATCCAGCTCGACAGCAAAATTGGGTGTCGCGAACTGCTTGATGCCTGCTTGATGGGGTTCTGGGAGTTCTTCTAGCCCAGCCCGAGGCCAGGCTTGACTTGTGAGAGTTTGGTCCACCAGGTTGTTGCTTGGAGTGGCTCTAGGGGTCTAAAATAAGGAATAGTGAGCACTAATTACATCTGAGCGAGCATCAACATGTGCATGACTGCCGATGTGTAATTACGACTCTAACGGCTCCGTGCGTTAGAGCCTCGGGGGGAGGGGGGGGGGGCATAGTAGCCATGAGACAATCCAGTAGGGCTATGCGGTGGGCGCGAACTTTCAACCAAGGCATGGCCAGCTGCATACTCTACCACTAGCCATGTTGTGCAACATGCAGCTCATCACAGCCACATGAACCAGTGAAGACAACACCACCACCAGCCACACCCAGGCCCATCACTGACCAGCCTTGCCGCCTCTTACGCCATAGTCGTCGCATACTCCATGTCAATCATTGTTTGTGATGACAATAGCGGTCTACTGTGGAACTTGTGGAAATAGTAAACAATGGAGATGGTAATGTGATGGTTGTGTGAGGCAGGGGGGGGGGCGGCGGGCCGAGGCTGCCACCCAACTAATGCCACTACACAACTACGTGAGTACACGCTAATTTACATTTCGTCCCAAGCCTAAAATACCAACTAAATTGTGGCAATTTTCCAAAATTTACATTTTATGTAACTTAATACGAATAAAAAAAATTCACATTTTTTCCAAATTACTTGTTTGGGCGGGCGAAGGGGGGGAAGAGGTGGAAGAGGGGGAGAGAATGGGCTTTTTAAAGTGCAAGTCATCATGCCACACCCAAATTAGACCAAATATGGATATGTACTTTTACAAATGTAATCAAAGGGAATATTTTGTTGTGAATTGAGAATGTTTGGTTAACAAAATAGCCAAGTCCACCCTTTGGAACAGGGAATTATTGGATAATTTCCCCCCATAAAACCACACCAATAAGTAGTCATACTAACGGGGCTGGGAAAGCACATTCAAGGCTTCACAATATTTCCAAATTCTTTAGGGAATTTCTCGTTTTCCTTCCTACGTGGTTCAAAATACCTCCACGGTGTACAGTAGGTCACTGGAGACGGGTGACTTACCAGTAATATGGAAGACGGCTAATGTAGTCCCAATATACAAAAAGGGTGACATAAGAGGCACTGAACTACAGGCCAGTGTCCTTAACTTGTATACCATGCAAGGTGACGGAGAAGATCGTGAGAAAAAACCTAGTAACACATCTGGAGAGAAGGGACTTCGTGACAACCCATCAACATGGGTTCAGGGAGGGTAAATCTTGCCTTACAGGCTTAATAGAATTCTACGATCAGGTGACAAAGATTAACCAAGAAAGAGAACATTGGGTAAACTGCATCTTCTCGGACTGTGGAAAAATCTTTGACACAGTACCCCCATAAGAGGCTGCTGCATAAGTTGGAGAAACAGGCAAGGGTGACTGGTAAGGTGTTCCAGTGAATATAGGAGTATCTAAGCAATAGGAAGCAGAGAGTTACTGTGAGGGGTGAAACTTCAGACTGGCATGAAGTCACAAGCGGAGTCCCACAGGGCTCTGTACTCGGACTTATCCTGTTTGATATACATAAATGATCTTCCAGAGGGTATAGACTCATTCCTCTCAATGTTTGTTGATGGTGCCAAAATTATGAGAAGGATTAAGACAGAGGAGGACATCATGAGGCTTCCATAAGACCTGGACAAACAAGGAATAGTCCAAATGGTTTTTAGAGTTTAACCCGAGCAAATGTAATGTATATAGGTGTAGGGAGCCAGAGACCAGATACAAACTATCATTTGGGAGATGAAATTCTTCTAAGATCAGAGAGAGAAAGACCTGGGGGTTGATATCACGCCAGACCTGTCCCCCGAAGCCCACATCAAGAGGATAACATCAGCGACATATGTCAGGTTGGCCAACATAAAACCGGCATTTGGAAACTTGTGTAAGGAATCTTTCAGAACCTTGTATAATAGGTACGTCAGACCAATCCTGGAGTATGCAGCTCCAGCATGGAGTCCGTATCTCATCACCCATATAACTAAATTGGAGTAGGCTCAGAGGTTTGCTACCAGACTAGTGTCCGAACTGAGGGGCATGAGCTATGAGGAGAGACTACGGGAATTAAACCTCACGTTGCTGGAAGACAGGAGTTAGGGGGGACATGATCACCACATACAAGATTCTCAACAGAATTGATAGGGTAGACAAAGAGTCTATTTAACACAAGGGGTACACGCACCAGGGGACACCGGTGGAAATTGAGTATCCAAATGAGCCATAAAGAGATTAGAAAGAATTTGTTTAGTGTCAGAGTAGTTAATAAATGGAATGCATTAGGAAGTGATGTGGTGGAGGCTGACTCCATAAACAGTTTCAAGTGTAGATATGATAGAGCCCAGTAGGCTCAGGAACCTGTACACCTGTTGATTGACAGTTGAGAGGCGGGACCAAAGAGCCAGAGCTCAACCCCCCCGCAAGCACAACTAGGTGAGTATAACTAGGTGAGTACACACACACACACACACACACACAGCGCCGGTGGCTGTGTGGACAGCACGTTGGACACGTAATCATATGGCCCTGGTTCGATTCCCGGCGCTGGCGAGAAACATAATGAGCAGAGTTTCTTTCACCCTGACGCCCCCTGTTACCTAGCAGTAAATAGGTATCAGGGAGTTAGACAGCTGTTACGGGCTGCTTCCTGGGGTGTGTGTGAGTTTATGGTATATAATGTATTACAAATTCGTGTTACTGAAGCATACTCTGTACAAAGCTTCAAGCTAATACGATAAGATAATGCAGTAACTGCTGAGACATTATATAACAGGTGGCTGCTCCAGAGCGCGCACCCATCTTCTTAAGACACTCGCCTCTCGACTTCTTCTCTCCCAAGACAAAGCACTAAACCTAACTAGTGTGAGAACCCCACAACATCCCCAGTAACTCCTCCAAGATGGGAATATATCTGAACAAAGTTTGGGTTAACAGTAAGGATGGTGCCCATTACCCCAGATAGAGAAGAGAGTGAAACAGTAATACAACAGACCTGGTAGAGCTGGTGGCCCCCAGATAGAGAAAAGAGTGAAACAGTAATACAACAGACCTGGTAGAGCTGGTGGCCCCCAGAGAGAGAAGAGTGAAACAGTAATACAACAGACCTGGTAGAGCTGGTGGCCCCCAGAGAGAGAAGAGTGAAACAGTAATACAACAGACCTGGTAGAGCTGGTGGCCCTCAGAGAGAGAAGAGAGAAACAGTAATACAACAGACCTGGTAGAGCTGGTGGCCCCCAGAGAGAGAGAAGAGTGAAACAGTAATACAACAGACCTGGTAGAGCTGGTGGCCCCCAGAGAGAGAAGAGTGAAACAGTAATACAACAGACCTGGTAGAGCTGGTGGCCCCCAGAGAGAGAAGAGTGAAACAGTAATACAACAGACCTGGTAGAGCTGGTGGCCCCCAGAGAGAGAGAAGAGTGAAACAGTAATACAACAGACCTGGTAGAGCTGGTGGCCCCCAGAGAGAGAAACAGTAATACAACAGACCTGGTAGAGCTGGTGGCCCCCAGAGAGAGAAGAGTGAAACAGTAATACAACAGACCTGGTAGAGCTGGTGGCCCCCAGAGAGAGAAGAGTGAAACAGTAATACAACAGACCTGGTAGAGCTGGTGGCCCCCAGAGAGAGAAGAGTGAAACAGTAATACAACAGACCTGGTAGAGCTGGTGGCCCCCAGAGAGTGAAACAGTAATACAACAGACCTGGTAGAGCTGGTGGCCCCAGAGAGAGAAACAGTAATACAACAGACCTGGTAGAGCTGGTGGCCCCAGAGAGTGAAACAGTAATACAACAGACCTGGTAGAGCTGGTGGCCCCAGAGAGAGAGAAGAGTGAAACAGTAATACAACAGACCTGGTAGAGCTGGTGGCCCCCAGAGAGTGAAACAGTAATACAACAGACCTGGTAGAGCTGGTGGCCCCCAGAGAGAGAAGAGAGTGAAACATTAATACAACAGACCTGGTAGAGCTGGTGGCCCCCAGAGAGAGAAGAGAGAGAAACATTAATACAACAGACCTGGTAGAGTTGGTGGCCCCCAGAGAGAGAAGAGAGAAACAGTAATACAACAGACCTGGTAGAGCTGGTGGCCCCCAGAGAGAGAAGAGAGAAACAGTAATACAACAGACCTGGTAGAGCTGGTGGCCCCCAGAGAGTGAAACAGTAATACAACAGACCTGGTAGAGCTGGTGGCCCCCAGAGAGAGAAACAGTAATACAACAGACCTGGTAGAGCTGGTGGCCCCCAGAGAGAGAAGAGAATGAAACAGTAATACAACAGACCTGGTAGAGCTGGTGGCCCCCAGAGAATGAAACATTAATACAACAGACCTGGTAGAGCTGGTGGCCCCCAGAGAGAGAAGAGAGTGAAACAGTAATACAACAGACCTGGTAGAGCTGGTGGCCCCCAGAGAGAGAGAAGAGAGTGAAACAGTAATACAACAGACCTGGTAGAGCTGGTGGCCCCCAGAGAGTGAAACAGTAATACAACAGACCTGGTAGAGCTGGTGGCCCCCAGAGAGTGAAACAGTAATACAACAGACCTGGTAGAGCTGGTGGCCCCCAGAGAGTGAAACAGTAATACAACAGACCTGGTAGAGCTGGTGGCCCCCAGAGAGAGAGAAGAGAGTGAAACAGTAATACAACAGACCTGGTAGAGCTGGTGGCCCCCAGAGAGAGAGAAGAGAGTGAAACAGTAATACAACAGACCTGGTAGAGCTGGTGGCCCCCAGAGAGAGAGAAGAGAATGAAACATTAATACAACAGACCTGGTAGAGCTGGTGGCCCCCAGAGAGTGAAACAGTAATACAACAGACCTGGTAGAGCTGGTGGCCCCCAGAGAGTGAAACAGTAATACAACAGACCTGGTAGAGCTGGTGGCCCCCAGAGAGAGAGAAGAGAGTGAAACAGTAATACAACAGACCTGGTAGAGCTGGTGGCCCCCAGAGAGAGAAGAGTGAAACAGTAATACAACAGACCTGGTAGAGCTGGTGGCCCCCAGAGAGAGAAGAGTGAAACAGTAATACAACAGACCTGGTAGAGCTGGTGGCCCCCAGAGAGAGAGAAGAGAATGAAACATTAATACAACAGACCTGGTAGAGCTGGTGGCCCCCAGAGAGTGAAACAGTAATACAACAGACCTGGTAGAGCTGGTGGCCCCCAGAGAGAGAAACAGTAATACAACAGACCTGGTAGAGCTGGTGGCCCCCAGAGAGTGAAACAGTAATACAACAGACCTGGTAGAGCTGGTGGCCCCCAGAGAGAGAGAAGAGAGTGAAACAGTAATACAACAGACCTGGTAGAGCTGGTGGCCCCCAGAGAGAGAGAAGAGAGTGAAACAGTAATACAACAGACCTGGTAGAGCTGGTGGCCCTCAGAGAGAGAGAAGAGAGTGAAACAGTAATACAACAGACCTGGTAGAGCTGGTGGCCCCCAGAGAGTGAAACAGTAATACAACAGACCTGGTAGAGCTGGTGGCCCCCAGAGAGAGAAACAGTAATACAACAGACCTGGTAGAGCTGGTGGCCCCCAGAGAGAGAAACAGTAATACAACAGACCTGGTAGAGCTGGTGGCCCCCAGAGAGAGAAACAGTAATACAACAGACCTGGTAGAGCTGGTGGCCCCCAGAGAGAGAAACAGTAATACAACAGACCTGGTAGAGCTGGTGGCCCCCAGAGAGTGAAACAGTAATACAACAGACCTGGTAGAGCTGGTGGCCCCAGAGAGAGAAGAGAGAGAAACATTAATACAACAGACCTGGTAGAGCTGGTGGCCCCCAGAGAGAGAAGAGAGAGAAACAGTAATACAACAGACCTGGTAGAGCTGGTGGCCCCCAGAGAGAGAAGAGAGAAACAGTAATACAACAGACCTGGTAGAGCTGGTGGCCCCCAGAGAGAGAAGAGAGAGAAACAGTAATACAACAGACCTGGTAGAGCTGGTGGCCCCCAGAGAGAGAAGAGTGAAACAGTAATACAACAGACCTGGTAGAGCTGGTGGCCCCCAGAGAGAGAAGAGAATGAAACATTAATACAACAGACCTGGTAGAGCTGGTGGCCCCCAGAGAGAGAAGAGAATGAAACAGTAATACAACAGACCTGGTAGAGCTGGTGGCCCCCAGAGAGTGAAACAGTAATACAACAGACCTGGTAGAGCTGGTGGCCTCCGTCGACAGGTTTGTCTTGTCCTTCCTTCTTGCTAGAGTCCCTCCCTCTACCTTCCTCTCTCGACTCTTTCCTCTTGTTCTTGGACCTGGAGATCTCAACGCGTCGCCGGTAGTGAGAGAAGGGCGAGGAGGACGATGTGGGCGATAGCGACGACTTGGTAGGTCCCCACGATGACGCCGATGATGCAGACGACGATAGGACTGAATGACTAGACAAGGCGCCCCTGTAGAACTTCTTAGAGCGGCCCTTGAAGGTGTTGTGGTGTAGCTTGGCGTGTGGCAGGTGGAAGCGAGGCAGCTGAGCCTCGCCTCCCTCACCACTCCTCCCCTCACCACGCTCACCACGGATCACCAGCTTCAACAGGTCCGAGAACATGGTGACTGGCGCTGTGGTGGAGAGGAGGCAGGTGGCAGACGGAAGCTGCTGCCGGTGACTGAAGGAATGGGAAAAAGTGAAGTCTGGACGATGAAGCAAATCCTTCTTGATGTCAGCGGGTCGTTATTAGTTTCCACGTCTACGACGCTGCTCACAAATTCGCGTTTTTAACTTTGTAAGTTGCCTTGTATTTTGCTTCATTCTCACATTATGCACTTTATTTAAAACCATAAAAACATAGTTGTTTGTGTGTTGGAGTCGTCTTGTTTGTGTCTTCTTACTAATCCATAGCTGGAGACTTTCTCTTTGTGTTGGCAGCGAGTGTCAAGGTCTGGCGGGACTCACCATAGCCACGGTCTCCACGCCGCCCATCCTGCCGCCCACACACTCCCCCAAACACCTCTCAAGCCCAATGTTCTCCACTCCCCTCACCACGATGGCTTCCCCACGCTCTCAGTGGACGTGAGGATGAGTGAGGTGGGGGCGTGTCTCCTTTCCGGCCAGTGGGTCCTGGGGGCTGACACCGGTGTTGAGTACGGCCGCAGCCTGTGCCAGTGCTGCTGCACCCTGGGTGTGTGCTCCTACACCCTGGGTGTGTGTGCTGCGTGCTGCGTCACCCGAGGAGGCCAAGCTAGCGGAGGGGGCCGCCGCTCTAGGTAGCCATTCTAGACCTCGCCGCCCATCACTGTGGTGTGGTGCGCTACTCTCCTCACAATGTTTGCAAGTGAGGAGGAAACGTCACTTTCTACTCGAGTTACGACATTTCTATACAAGTTCCAAGCAAGTGTATCTATTGAATAAATATATGTTTTACCTTCCTGTTCAAGCCAAGAAATATATTGTCTTACAATACATCGTTCAACTCTTGGGAACACAAGCCGCCACCACCACACATCTGCCACACACACACGCTCCTCTATCATATATTTACATACGCGGCCACAAGGCCCCACTCTTGACGATTTGTTCTACTTCTACAGCCTGGATGTGGCCAGCCTTCTCTGGTCTGGGGCTGTTTATGCTCGTAAACCTCCCCCCACACCCCCACCTAACCACCCCCTACACAAACACCCCCACCTCCACAGACACACAACCCCCCCCCCCCCACCACAACAATGAAACCTTACGGACTATCCATGGCCGAGAGCTACCTCTTGGGTGACTTGAACTTTATCAGTCAACAACACCACAATTCCCACATATTAAAGAGAGAATGTAGCTAACACTACAAGAACGACTGCGAGGAACGTCGCCAAATATGTCGAGATGTGTTGATGAAAGACCCAGAAACTGTGTCACACCTTCAACAACAACGGGGGAATAAAGAGGTATATAGAGGTAAATAAAGAAAACATGGTAATAAATATATAAATGAAGAGATTAATAAACATAACGATGACAGGAGATAAACTAAAATACGTGAACGTATCAGTGATAGAGGATCCGGGTGGACTTTAGCAGTGAAGGTACCAATGGTGGTATTGTAAACCACTCATACTCTACAGTCTCACGGTGGTATTGTAAACCACTCATACTCTACAGTCTCACGGTGGTATTGTAAACCACTCATACTCTACAGTCTCACGGTGGTATTGTAAACCACTCATAACATACACTCACGTTAGTGTAAACAGTTCAGTCTCACATGAGTACTGTAAACCACCTGACTGACCATCTGTCTTGGACTGACTGGTACAGCACCCCTCCCCCCCCTCCCACCCCCGGGGTCTTATCCCCGACAATACACCTGGTTACCTTACCTTGAGGTGCTTCCGGGGCTTAGCGTCCCCGCGGCCCGGTCGTCGACCAGGCTTCCACAATGATTGGTACAGCACCTCCCTCCCACCCCGGGAGTCTCATCCCTGAGGTACACTTGGATGGTACCTTCGCTCATCAGGGTACCCTATTAGGCCTCCTCCCACCCCCTGTGCTGGTGTGGTGCACCTTCCTGGAATTATATGAGCTAAGCGCCCCCCCCCACACACTCAGAGAACACTGTCTGAACTTCAGAGGTCCACAGCTGTTCAACAGCCTCCCAGAAAGCATTAGAAATATTGCCGGAACACAGGTGGATGTATTCAAGAGGTACTTAGATAAGTTCTTGCAAGAAGTTCCGGACCAACCAGGCTGTTGTGGATATGTGGGCCTGTAGGCCGCTCCAAGCAACAGCCTGTTGGACCAAGTTTGACCAAGTTAAACAGGGTGGTTGGACCAGCCTGTTTTCAGATGTCTGAAAGTTTAGCCACTAAACAAACCGAAGAATTAATTTTTCATAGATGTGTTACCAACATCGAATTATGTATCAGGTATCACCCTATCTCCACTGGATTTTGAAGAAGCTATAGACAGTATGCTTATGCACTCTGCACCAGGCCCCGATTCTCGGAACTCCATATTCACCAAGAACTGTAAAAAAAAAACACTATCGCAAGCCCTTCATATTCTTTAGAGACGGAGCTTAGATACTGGCGTTATCCCTGACACACTAAAAGCAGCAGAGATAGCACCACTCTATAAAGGATGAAATAAGGCAGAAACAAAAAATTACAGACCGATAGCACTAACATCACACATCATAAAAATCTTTGAGTGCGCGCTAAGTAGTAAGATCATAAAATACATGGAATCCCAGCATCTCCATAACCCCGGACAACATGGTTTCAGAGCAGAGCACTCTTGCTTGTCACAGTTGCTGGACCACTATGACATGGCACTAGATGCTATGGAAGACAAACGAAACGCTGACGTAATTTACACACATTTCGCAAAAACCTTCGACAAATGTGACCATGGTGTTATTGCACACAAAATACGTTCAAAAGGAATTACCGAAAAAAATTAGATGACAGATCAATAATTTATAACAGAACCCAATGTGTAATAGTCAACAAAGTAAAATCCGGTCCATCAACCATGAAGAGCTCGGTCTGTCAGGGTACTGTGCTTGCTCCAGTACTTTTTCTCATCTTCATATTAGACATAGACAAGGACACAAACTATAGTACCGATGACACTACGATTTTTATGAAGGTTTACATAGAGGACACAGCAAACCTCCAATCAGATGTTTATCAGGTCTTTCAATGGGCTGCAGAAAATAATACGGTATTTAATGAAGACAAGTTCCAGCTCCCGCGCGATGGAAAAAATAATATATAAAAACGGAAACCACGTACAAAACACAGTCAAATCATAACATAGAACGTCAATGCAATGTAGACCTCCCCAAGGTCTAAACCTACTTGAAGATCCGTCCCGACTAAGAAACAAGATTGTTTCTTAAGAAACCAGAATGGTGATGGTGATACTAGACTGACGCCAAGTATCACATATACAATCATGCAGGGGCAGGTAACCAAGGCATCCATGTGTGCGTTACCTACATAAAGCCGGCAGTGTTTACAGTGAAGCTCTCGTGCAACACGAGGCCCTCATATGAAACACTTGAGCCAGCGAGTCTCTGGACTACAATAATGTGGACAGTTTGAGGCGGTTGGTGGGTTGAGGGTCACGCTGGAGGTGGCGTCATGCACACGCACAATGTTTCGTCATCCACAGTTGTGCAACACCGGGGAGTGCCGTGATCAATGGCCACCACCTTGCAACAATATTATGTTAGTAGTAACAATGGTGGTGGTGGTGTCAGTGGTGGTGATGGTGTCAGTGGTGGTGGTGGTGTCAGTGGTGGTGATGGTGTCAGTGGTGGTGGTGGTGTCAGTGGTGGTGATGGTGTCAGTGGTGGTGGGGGTGTCAGTGGTGGTGGGGGTGTCAGTGGTGGTGGTGTTGTCAGTGGTGGTGGTGGTGTTGTCAGTGGTGGTGATGGTGTCAGGTGGTACTGGTGTCAGTGGTGGTGATGGTGTCAGTGGTGGTGATGGTGTCAGTGGTGGTGATGGTGTCAGTGGTGGTGGTGGTGTCAGTGGTGGTGGTGGGGGTGTCAGTGGTGGTGATGGTGTCAGTGGTGGTGGTGGTGTCAGTGGTGGTGGTGGTGTCAGTGGTGGTGATGGTGTCAGTGGTGGTGATGGTGTCAGTGGTGGTGATGGTGTCAGTGGTGGTGGTGGTGTCAGTGGTGGTGGTGGTGTCAGTGGTGGTGATGGTGTCAGTGGTGGTGATGTCAGTGGTGGTGATGGTGTCAGTGGTGGTGTCAGTGGTGGTGATGGTGTCAGTGGTGGTGGTGGTGTCAGTGGTGGTGGTGGTGTCAGTGGTGGTGATGGTGTCAGTGGTGGTGGTGGTGTCAGTGGTGGTGGTGGTGTCAGTGGTGGTGATGGTGTCAGTGGTGGTGATGGTGTCAGTGGTGGTGGGGGTGTCAGTGGTGGTGGGGGTGTCAGTGGTGGTGGTGGTGTTGTCAGTGGTGGTGGTGTTGTCAGTGGTGGTGGTGTTGTCAGTGGTGGTGGTGGTGTCAGGTGGTACTGGTGTCAGTGGTGGTGATGGTGTCAGTGGTGGTGATGGTGTCAGTGGTGGTGGTGGTGGTGTCAGTGGTGGTGATGGTGGTGTCAGTGGTGGTGATGGTGGTGTCAGTGGTGGTGGTGTCAGTGGTGGTGGTGGTGTCAGTGGTGGTGATGGTGTCAGTGCTGGTGGTGGTGTCAGTGGTGGTGGTGGTGTCGGTGGTGGTGTCAGTGGTGGTGTCAGTGGTGGTGGTGGTGGTGTCAGTGGTGGTGGTGGTGTCAGTGGTGGTGATGGTGGTGTCAGTGGTGGTGGTGGTGTCAGTGGTGGTGATGGTGTCAGTGGTGGTGGGGGTGTCAGTGGTGGTGGGGGTGTCAGTGGTGGTGATGGTGTCAGTGGTGGTGATGGTGTCAGGTGGTGATGGTGTCAGTGGTGGTGATGGTGTCAGTGGTGGTGGTGGTGGTGTCAGTGGTGGTGATGGTGGTGTCAGTGGTGGTGATGGTGTCAGTGGTGGTGTCAGTGGTGGTGGTGGTGTCAGTGGTGGTGTCAGTGGTGGTGGTGGTGTCAGTGGTGGTGATGGTGTCAGTGGTGATGGTGTCAGTGGTGGTGGTGGTGTCAGTGGTGGTGGTGGTGTCAGTGGTGGTGATGGTGTCAGTGGTGGTGATGGTGTCAGTGGTGGTGATGGTGTCAGTGGTGGTGTCAGTGGTGGTGGTGGTGTCAGTGGTGGTGGTGGTGTCAGTGGTGGTGCTGATGGTGTCAGTGGTGGTGCTGATGGTGTCAGTGGTGGTGCTGATGGTGTCAGTGGTGGTGCTGATGGTGTCAGTGGTGGTGCTGATGGTGTCAGTGGTGGTGCTGGTGTCAGTGGTGGTGCTGATGGTGTCAGTGGTGGTGCTGATGGTGTCAGTGGTGGTGCTGATGGTGTCAGTGGTGGTGCTGATGGTGTCAGTGGTGGTGCTGATGGTGTCAGTGGTGGTGCTGATGGTGTCAGTGGTGGTGCTGATGGTGTCAGTGGTGGTGCTGATGGTGGTGTCAGTGGTGGTGCTGATGGTGTCAGTGGTGGTGCTGATGGTGTCAGTGGTAATGGTGTCAGTGATGGTAATGGTGTCAGTGGTGGTAATGGTGTCAGTGGTGGTGGTAATGGTGTCAGTGGTGGTGGTAATGGTGTCAGTGGTGGTGGTAATGGTGTCAGTGGTGGTGGTAATGGTGTCAGTGGTGGTGGTAATGGTGTCAGTGGTGGTGGTAATGGTGTCAGTGGTGGTGGTAATGGTGTCAGTGGTGGTGGTAATGGTGTCAGTGGTGGTGGTAATGGTGTCAGTGGTGGAAATGGTGTCAGTGGTGGTAATGGTGTCAGTGATGGTAATGGT